TTTTCCATTGTTTTAATTTAGTATAACGTAATACCATTCATATTTTCACTTTTTTTTTAATTTAAAGAAGAAACCAATCCAACGTATAGTTGACATTGAGGCTTAATACTATAGAAAAACAAACATTTTTCAGTTAGTGTTTTCAGCTCTAAAAATATGGCATGCGGTTGCTTCAAACAATGGTGTAAACATCATTCAATGTAAATAGTGATAATTGTAATTAATAATCGCAATTACAATTTCAAGGGAGTAATCGACAATTATGATTTTTGTCAATCGTGCACCCCTACCAGCTAATAAAGTATATACATAATTGTTTCAGTATATATAATATTCATACAATACAGAATTAGTTGAAATACATTATGGAAGCTTGTTTCCACCATGGAATAAAAAAAAGTGAAATATAATTGCAACTTTTCTCACAATTCCGATTCTTTCTCGCAATTGCGAGGTTATATATCCCACAATCCTGACTTCTTTTCTCTGAATTGTGGGATATAAACTCGCAAATGTGAGTTATAAGTCCAAGTCAGCTCACAACTGACATTTTCTTACAATTGCGAGTTTATATCCCACAATTCTGTCTTTATAAATCACAGTCGTGCATATAAAGTCAGAAATACAAGATATAAACTCGCAATTGTGAGATAAAAAGTCGCAATTACATTTCTTATTTTTCTATCCCGTGGTGGAACGGCTTCCGTAGTACACTATTTTTAAAGTAATAAAAAAAACAACAGAAAATAGAACGCACTATGGGAAAATAATAAATAAGCTATAAAATGCATAAGTGTTTTTTTCTAAATTAAATTTTTGCTCAACTGGATTTTGTTCATCTGTTCCAAAGAAATCCAAAATAAAGTAAATAACTGGTTGTAACTGAAATATGTCTCTGTGTGTTTATCAGAGGGATGTTTATTAAAAAATTGTTATTAGCAGTGCATCCTGATACTGTGATAGAGTGCTATTTTTTTGAACGTTTTTATATTTTTCATCAAAATCTCATACCATTCCACAATCCAAATTTTTTGGGAGCAAGTATTTAATTTTACACTGGTGCTTTTATGGGATTGCGGTCTGACTAATTTAGTAAATCTGGCCTCTAGTGATGAACATTTACGCTGCAAAAAAATTACCTCAAGAACAGCATCTTTTAATTTCCCATACGCTACGTCAAGATCATCATTGATAATCACCACATCAAATAAACCTGGCTCTTTGCCTGAAATATGGATATATAAAAGTTAGCGTGCTATTCCAGATGTGAAAAAAACACTGCAGTATTTAATTAAAAATAATTAGCATAGGAACGGACACTTACTTATTTCCATGTCCACTTTGGCTGCATGTAAACGCTTTTGTAAACTTTCCTCAGATTCAGTTTTTCTATCCCTTAATCGTTTTTCCTGAAGACATACAGTTTTAGATTAAAACGAGAAGACGACACATAAACAGAATATTTGGATTGAGAGATGATTTACAGTATTTCTCACCAGGATTTCCATTGACGGAGGCTGGATGGACACATAGATGGGGTTGAGATCGGTTCTCTTGATGTTCTTCACTCCCTGCATGTCAATGTCCAAAATGCAAATCATATTTTTGGCCTGAACAGCCTGTACAGCTGCTTTACTGTGAACGGGGCAAAAACGGTGTTAGTTACAATTACATACATATTCCTGCATACATGCAGTATTTCTCTAGCTTGAACATGACGACAAACATCAGTGATGGGTCGTTCATGAATGATTTGTTCATTGCTTCTGTCACATGACAAATCAACTAAAGACTCGGGAGGTAAACTAATCATTTATGGTACTCATCTTTGGCTACATTATAATGATTTCCTAATTCATAATATGATCGAGTTTGCATAGGTGGACGTGTTTGAAGAATTTGGCTGTTGAAAATTTAATATTTAATGCCACTCAAATGCAGAGTTTAGCTCCAACCATTATTAACGTTCTGGTACTGTTTGGTCATTTTTGACTGAAAATTTCGTTTTTTTTTTAGATTTTTTTTTTACTTCATCGGAATGGAACGAAACTTGGTAAAGGTTTTGGCACTTGCTATGTGAACACACAAACACATACAAAATAACAAAACAAAAAACAAACAAAGGTTAAATGGTCCTGAAAAAAAAAAAAGTCACACTTGCACTGTTCATGGTCAAAAATGACCTCATTGGAAATGAATGGGAAGTGAATTTCTTCTAGTGGAAACGTTTGGTACTGAAAGTTCATTTTTTGAGATATCAACCTCAAATTTAAAAAACACAACTTGTTTAGATATAGGGCTTTGATTTTCACACCGCTTGAGAGTAAAACATTTTATATTGCATATAAAATTTAAAAATAGTATTTTGTGCATTTTTCAGATTTTGTTTTAAATTATTGTATGTATGCATATGAAGAGTTTATACTCCGTTTTTTTAAATGTTCAAAAATCATGTTTTTTATTATGTAATCATGTTTTTATTGTGTTTTATTGTGTTGGTTAGCTGTAATTTTTTGTTATTTTTTTAACCTAATCAAAATAACCCAACTGCAGTTTGATTGAGATTAACTGGAATGCACAATGAAAAAACATGATTTTTGAGACTTGTTAAAAAACGGAGTTATCCGTTTTAGCAAATGAACTCTTCATATATATATATATATATATGAAGAGTTCATTTGCTAAAACGGATAACTCCGTTTTTTAACAAGTATCAAAAATCATGTTTTTTCATTGTGCATTCCAGTTAATCTCAATCAAAATGCA